CCCGCCCCGAAGCGCTCCCGACGCGCTCCGGCCGGCAGCACGAGCTGCGCGCGCGGGTTCCGCCTCGGTGGGGCGTCCCGGGCTGGCCAAGAGCGGCCAGCCCAGGGCGAACTGGCCACCGTAGAACAGCAGAACCGGCCGGTCAGTTTGGCGTCCCCGCCAGGCTTTGTCCTCCCGAGGAGCCCGCCCGTGCTGCACTCCATCCGCACCCCGACCCGCCAGCGAGCGGGGGCGGGGGGCGAGGGCGCAGGCCGGCTGGGGCTCTGTCCTCAGCTCGGTCTCGCCGCGCGGGCCCCGAGTCCGGCCGCACTCCGGGTCTGGGGGCGCCGCCCAGCCCGGGCCCACGTCCCCGACTCCGAGCGGGAATGGGCAGGCATCGCGGCGGGTTCCTCGGCCCAGGCCCCGCCCCTCCCGGCCAGGCCCCGCCCCTCCCGCATGGCCAGCTGTTTTGAGCCCAACTCGGGATAAGCAAATCTTGCTTATGGATTAGTACTAAGGACAGCTTGTTGGAAATCACCGCAGGCTCTTCACACCCTTATTTTACACTTTAATTTAAATCGCGAATATTTAACTTTTCAAGCAAACATATTTTTAAAAAGTCACTGTTTCACCTATAAGATGCAAAGCGAGAAACAAAATTCATCTGCAGAGAAGCCGCCTGCTCAGGGCGCAACCACGGCAGCGTGGCGGCCGGGTCTCTCCCCCTTTCCAATCGTTTTCCTCAAATGTCTTGGGGTGGAAAACCAGTGCAGAACCTTTGGCAAAGACTAAACACAGCGCTGGACGGCTCAGAACTTGAGGAGCGGAGAGGGCAGGTTCTCTTTGTCAGCCTCGGGGCTCAGCTGGATGAGGGGGGACGTCAGGTCTATCAGCTGCGAGAGAGAGCATTGAGCAGGACCCCGCCCCGCTGCCTGTCACGCCCCTCGGGGCACCCGAGGGCCCAGGAAGCCCGCACCCTGGCGGGAGGAAGCTGCAGCAGACCCGGCAGACAGCAGGCCTCTGCGCCCAGGGACTAGTTGGCTCCGAGGGGGACCTGGCGGGCGCTCAGCTCGCCCAGCAGGAGACACATCGGTCCCAGGAATCTCACGACCCGCAGCAGGTCGCCGTGATGTCCCCCCAGAGGCACCGGGACCGCGGGGCAGCTCACCTGCGCCGCCTCGTGGACAGGCTTGGGCGGGGGGCCCCTGCCAAAGTCCGGGGTGTTGATCAGGAGGTCGATCAGAGGCCGGCTCTCCAGGCCCACAGCCACCTTGGCTTCAGGAGTGTTGTCAAAGTCGATGAGGGGGAGGTCGACGAGGGGGAGGTCAACGAGGGGGAGGTCAACGAGGGGGAGGTCAACGAGGGGGAGGTCAACGAGGGGGAGGTCAACGAGGGGCGTGCTCTCCACTCTGGGGGTGATCGTAAGTTCATCCATCTTGATATCCACAAGAATGGCCTAGACAAAAACATGAGCTCTTGGGGAAGCCACCTTGGGGGTGCCTTAGCTCTCTGCTCGTGCCCCAGGCAGCTGGACAGGCCTGCACACGGGCTGCGCTGCCCAGGCTCCTGGCCCCTGCTTCCTGCTCCCCGTCCTCGCCGGGCCTCCACGTCCAATGCAGGGGAGGTGGGCACTCTGCAGCCGCTGTCCAGCCCCCAGGACAACACTGGACACGAGGTCGCCCTTTTACCTCTCGCGGCGATGTGGCTGCTGGCGGCTGCGCTTCCTCCGGGGCTGCTTGTGTGGGGGCGCGCGGCGAGGCGGGGAAGCCACTCTCGTCTGGAGAAAAGCTGAGCGCCCGCGGCACCGCGGAGGGAGGGGGGCAGCTGCCCTGGGGCGGCGTGCCGGGGCGCGCAGGGGCAGCTGGGCCCCCGCTGCCCTCCAGGGAAGCTCTGCGGGCAGAGAGTCTTCTGGGTACGTTTCTGCGAGGTGCCGTCGCCCGGCCCGGCTTCTGCCCTGCCCAGGCCAGCGACCGGGTCCACCCCGAGGCCGCGGCCACCTCGCCGGCTTGAGGAACGGGACCAGCGGCCGGGTAACTGGCCTGCCGCCTCGGGGAGCCGCCGGCCCCGTCCTGCAGGTACCTCACGGGAGGAAGGAGCCGGCCCTCGAGCAGCCGCACTGCTGAGCCTGCTGCCCGGCCCCTGCGCTGTCTCCCACCTCCGCTCTCCGGCCGAGTGGCCAGGGAGCGCCGGCACCCTGCTGTGGCGGGGCCGGGCAGAGCCCGGTGGCGCGCTGTGGGCCCCGGAAGCCGCCTGCGGACAGCACAAGCCAAAGCTCTGGAGATGGCACCTGCCCCACGGGGCGGTCGCGGCTCTCGAGCTTGGGACGAGCTTCCCGGAGTGTGGGGGAGCAGGAAACGCTCCGCGAGCAGCAGGAGTGGGTGCGGGAAGGCCGGGAGGCGGGTTCCCCGAAAGGCCGGGCAGCACGACCTGGGCCTCGGCCGGAGGGGCAGAGGCGGCTGACTGCAGGCGCAGCAGGAGTTCGGGCATCTCGGTTCCCCGCGTGGCCACCCCCCGCCGACACCCCAGGGCGGCCGGGGGCAGCTGCTCTCGGCCCGCCCGCCCCTCCTGAGACCCCCGGCGGGCCCGGCCAGGCGGAGCCCAGCACCACTCGGGCCGCCACGTCCGAGCGATCTGAGATGACGTGTCACTTCTGCCGTACCTTGCTGAGGGCTCTTTCTGGGGTTCGGAAGACAGTCTCCGAGCCGGCACACGCAGCGGGGAGGCCGGAATCCGGGGCTTGGTCCGGGGGGTCGCCAGCAGAAGGCCAGAGAGCCGGCGGCCAGCAGGCGTGGGCAGGGCCGACAGGCGCCTGGTGCTGGCCGGGGTCCTGGCGCCCCGTGAGCAGCTCCACAGGCCGGGCGTGGATGCACATCTGGATGGGGTGCAGGGCAGGGCGGGCCTGGGGGGCCACACGGACCTGAGTGGCACCCAGGCCAGGTGGCCCTCTGCGCTGCAGGCGGGGGAGGGGCTCCGCATGGGGTGGTGCCCGCAGCACCTGCCCCCCCTGTGGGGCGCACCGGTCAGTTGCAGCCGGCCCACCCCCACCCCCCAACCCGAGGGTGGTGCACTCAGGGGCGGCCCACTCACCTCCCCGCCGACGTGCAGGACTGCGGCCTGGGCGCCCGAGCGGGCTGCGGCGTGGCGCCGGGGGGCTCCCCTGAGGAGAGGGCTGTCAGCAAAGCCAGCTCACGCTTTACCCGCGCTGGGCCGCTCCGCCGTAGCCAGTGCTCCCGAGTGTCTCCACTCCCAGGGCCTGGCGGCGCCCCCCTCACGCCCACCCCCGCCCCCGCCCCCAGGACAGCCGTCCCGCTGGCGCTCTGCGGCCCTGTGCCTGGGTGCTGGTGCCGGGAGACGCCCAGGTCGGCTCCATCCCGCAGCCCAGTCGGCTCCAGCACAGCCAGAGCGTCTCCCCAGAGGCGGTCGGGGCGTCCCTCTCCCAACCGGCCTGCCGGCAGCTTCTCTGAGCGTGGTCGACCCCAGATCAGCCTGAAGAGCGCCGAGACGGGGCACAGCTCAGCGGGCGGGCCCAGGGAGCGCCTGGGGGCCCAACGGAGCGGGGCGCAGCCCAGCAGGCCGGGCGGGGGCGGGAACACGAGCCCAGAGTGCGCACCACCAGGCGAGAGCCTTTTGCGAGACGTGACGTGGGCGCCACCCCACCCTGCAGGGACGCGTGACGTTCTCACTTACCGGCAGAAACCTTGGGCGTTTTGAGGGGGTCGGCTGGGGTGGGCAGCCCCTTCGTCTTGGGGTGCAGAGAAGAACCTCGCCCTCTCGCACTGCCCGCCTCACTCAGCTGAGAAGCCTGGGCCGAGCCAGGGCCCGCAAGGGCGGGCGTCCGGGGCGGAGCGGGC